AATGGCAGTGGCAGTGGTAGTGGTAGTGGTAGTGGTAGTGGCAGTGGAGTGGTAGTGGTAGTGGTAGTGGTAGTGGTAGTGGTAGTGGTAGTGGTAGTGGTAGTGGTTGTTGTTGTTGTTGTTGTTGTTGTTGTTGCTGTTGTTGTTGTTGCTGTTGTTGTATTAGTAGTAGCAGTGGTACTGATAACGGCGTTTCTCCGGCACTAGCAATGGTTCCAATAATACTGATAATAACAGTTGCAGTGGTGATGGTCCTAACAACGAGAATAAGTGGAATGTAAGGGAATGATGGCAGTAGCTCCAGCAGCAGCAACAGCAAAAGTCGTCGTAGCACTGGTGGTAGCAGCAGCAGGAGGACCTGGAGTAAGAAGAAAAGCAGAATTCATGACACAAAAACTTAAAGTAGAAATGATTGCAGAATACGCCATGGAGCTGCAAACTTGAGAGTCTTGATCTCGCGTCTGGTCAGCTTGTTCTCGAAACTCATTCTGGCGAGCCTTGGGCACAGGCCAGAATCTGCAACTAGCCAGGGAGTCTGTGAAATTGACCACTGACATTACGGTCGTGATTAGGAGTGCATATCGTTGGAATCCAGGGAACATCAAGAAGTGTAAATGTCAAGGGTCGCTGCTTTTGGAGAGCTGGAGAACTCATGCCCACTTCTACAATTTGGCTCACAAATACCCTGGGCCTTTTGAGGATAGTATTGCAATTAAGAACTTGTCCTAATGCCCAAAAACTCACTCATGACGTTCCAAGCATCTGGAGGCTCTTCGCTGGCCCGTGTAGGTTCAAGCACCCATTCACAAACTCATCCAAGTCCACAAGTCCACTCCTGGCGGACGGGCCGGGAACAACAAACCCACACTCCCAGAGCAACTTTATGGCTAGGAATGTGCAGCTGTCGCTCCGAGAAATCAATGCCCACAGCTGGTAGCCAGCAAAAGCTTGCAACTTTCACGTAGTAGGACAGCTTGATTAATGCCACATTCATGTGAAACGGCTTCTATGGATCTTACGCTTCGAGCTCGGAATTCTGCAGATGTTAACCGAAGAATGGGATCGGATCAAAAAACAAATGCGCGTGTGCGAAGGTTCGGTCTGCCCTTGCCATATTCATAATCCCCTGCCTCAATTGAGGGAGTCACTTAGCATCAGGGAGTGGGGAGTCTGTACTGGTAAGGCGAAGCGACTTCATCTCTGGTGCGGGAAAACAAGGTCCTGTCTGTGTCCATGAACGTGAACAGTACGCCCACATCCTGTCAAGTGCAGGACGCATGACACCGTTGACACACAGTGCAGCCTGGTTGTAACTCGAAAGTGGCCCCTCAGCCTCCGTAGAGATACTCATCGACTCCAGAAACCCAGCAAACTTTGGCGAAGAGAGCGCTCTCTTAAAGTCTTCAATGCTCACTTCGTCGCCGTCCTGAGTGGAACATCTCACACAAGCACAAATACGCTTTATTTCCTAAACCTTGCCTGACCTTGCGGTCCCATCTACCAATGGGATGACTAGACGATTGTTTGCAGGGTCCGGGGTTTTGGAATTTTTGGGGTTGTGGAATTCACATGCTTTTGAATGTGAGTATTCCAGGGCCTAAGGCTTGCAGGGGGTAGGAAACTACAGCTTTGGTTTGATTAGGTTCTCTTTTGGGGAATGAGCAGTGCCGCTATATGAATATCAGAATCTTCCCTCGCACCATCAAATGAAATCAAATGAATAGGTTGCAAAACAAGAAAGTTTTACTACCATGCGACTTCAGGCCGAGCCTCGTTCTCGCCCACGATCTCATGGAACATGTGTTGCAATTCGTGCACCTGCACTTTCAGGCTGCAACACAAAGGCGTCAACCATCGCGCTGCACAAGTCTCGTTTGACAATGATGCTGAGCAAGGCCTGCGAAGAGTGTCTTTGCATTTGCTTCATGACAGCCAGGTCTTTGTCAGCAGCTGCACTGTCCATCGCAGTCGAACAAAAAACCTTGGCCGCTGGGGACACCCTTGCCCGACATCAATCTGGCTACTAATTGGTAAATGGATGAAAAACGGAAACACAAAGAACTCAAATCCAAAACAAGTTAAGACACAGCAGTCATCACATTGATGACCTGCAGCGTAGACACACTGCTCACGCTTCAAGCGCCGACTGCAAGCAAACTTGACAAGGAAATATGAGTAAGTAAAAAACACACACTCCAGATGGCCGAAAGCATGTTACCCCTTTCCAGTTGCACAACTGATGCTACAAGCTTGCTACCAAGGGTCGGCAAAGCACGTGAATGTTATATAAATCAGCAGACACCTCAAATGCGCAAGACAGCTACAACCTTAATAAGTTTAAGATCTGCAGGTATTCCTGGTTTGGCATCGTTTGCATACTGCGCAATGCCAAGCCTTTAAAACACAGATGCCGGACATCATCGCTCTGCGAATATTGCTCCAAGGGACACAACCGCCAGCGGCCCTGAGCCCCTAGGACAGGATCATTCAACTCAACGTCCCACTGCACGCTCAACGCAGCATGACGCAAGCAACGCGAGGAAATTCTGAAATGCTTGATCACAATTCTGCGATGGATGACACGAAATCTTTCATCAACGACCACCACCCTGCCGCTGGTGCGCTCAACGTAAACTGTGCAAGGCTCGTCTCCAAAGAAGTGAGAGGCTTCAGCGCCGAATACCAATCGAGGCCACCGGTGATGGACATAAAGAGGGTCAGCATGCTGTCCTGAGATCAGATGACTTGTGCATCTTTGAACTCTCTCCTGCTCAGTCAACAAAAACATGTGAATCCTCTCATTGACCTGACTGGCGACTCCGCATGTATGTCACCACCAAGCCCTGACAAAATCATGCTGAAGAATCCGTTTACATGTCACCTGGGCAGCAGCTTGGCTGTTCATGGCCCTTTTACGCGCTCTTCTATGCGCTTTGGATGCAGCTTGACGGAGCTGCAGCCACGGACGAAAAGCAGCCACCATAATCATAGGAGAGGCTGACGGCTTGCTCGGGCTACAGTCGAAGAGGCTTCAAGGTGTTTCGCTAGCGTCGCGCATGCTAGCGCCAACAAGGTCGACGAAACTGTTGCGACCTGCCTGTATATCGCCTACCTCATGTCTGTGAAGACAAGCCCTGGGGGCACTTAGTGTCCCAACACAGCATCACCTGCACTGTTTCACATCTCAATGCAAGTTTGTTTTATTGCCTTTACAGCGCTGGCTTGGGCAGCCGGCCCTGCCTCCTCGGCGTGATGAAGGACATTCGTACAAGTTACTTTGGTGCTTACTACTTGCTTACCGTCGCAGGAGCCGAAGGAAACACCAAGGACGTCATGTCAGGAAAGGGACAAAAAGCCGAGCCCTCATCGCCAAAGCGTGCCAACATGTGCCAACTTGATTCCTCTTCGATCCTCCTACGAGTAATATCGCCGAGGGCGAACTCGACCAGGGTGAGTAGATGGCACTAGCAAACATCACGGCCGTAGGTGTGCATGGACAAGGCTTCGGAAAAAGCTTTTCCTTGCTTCCTTATCGATGTGCAGGCCTCCGAGACCGCAAATGTGTATTTGGAAGCGGCTGGCTTCAAATAAAGAATTTGGGAGGCTCTCGTAGTTTTGAAAACATCCCTCAACGGCGATGACTTGGAAGAAGCACCCACAGGATAATTCAGCTGCTCTTCAGTTCAGATCTGCCAAGCGGTTTGAGCATCGGACCTCCATGCGAGTCGGCATCCTGCATCAGCCTGTAGAAAATGTTTTCGCTGAACCAGTGGGGGAGTCTAGCCTGAGGTAACCTGAGGCGGTAAGACTGAGCAAGGCTGGCATGTTTGCCGACTTTCGACATGGTCGAGCAACGACACACCCGTGCCTGGACGTTCCTCGGGATGCTAGCTGCTAGTGTTATGAAAATGTTCAGGCGGCCGTACGGTGGAAATGTAGCAAGAAACTATACACCTCTCAGAAGGCAGCAAAAGACTCAGTCTTTTGGGGTTCCTTTAGCATAGACTAGAACCCAAAGGACCAGAAGACCAAGAAATACCCAAGGGAAGTAAAGGAAACATGTCTCTTTGTCGTTATCATCCAAGCTATCCGACAAACATCCCGAAACTTCCCTGCCTGTACTTGTTGGCCACAAGCCTATCGCTAAAACCATACTGAAACCGTTCTTTCCATCATCATCCAATCTTCCTCCCCCTTTCCTTTGCCTGGAATGCCTCAAATCATCCCCAAATCGTCAAAGATTGTTCTGTCCGAAAATGTCTTTGAAAAGCAGCTGCGTGAGTGCATGTTAGTGTGTCCGTGCGGGTGTTGGACAAGGGCAGACAGGGGCCTGTGCTCGAGAGCTTTTGGTCTCTCTGGAACCATAAACGTCAGGTGGTCTGGTCAACAGTCCGCGCGCCACCCGCAGCAACATTTTTAGAACGTCGAGCCTTTGTCAAAAAGGACTGGTGGTTACTGCCAAATAATTCCACAGCATTTGGGTTCCACAGGAAACAAATCGATGACTCTTGCGCAGATGTTTTGCATGAAGCAGAAATGCGGGCAACTTTACCCTTCTTTCCTCGGTCCACAAAGAGAGCCACCTGAACCAAGGCCTCACTTGCCGCCCGGGATCGGGCACACTTGTCCAAAACTCGACCGCACCACGATCCTGGAAAGCGGGGGGGGGGAATGAAATGCGCTGCAACTCACATAAACTTCCAGGGTGAGGGTGAACAATTCTTACAAAGCCCAAGCTTGTCACTGCGCAGGCAACTTAAATTCACAGCCTTCAATCCTTCTCTCACAGCATGCAGCTTGCCTCGAAAACAGGAGGCGCGTTTCGATTGCAAACAGGAAGAGCGTTTCGATTGCCAGTTGCCAGCATCTCCTGCAAAGCACGAATGGAGTCAGCAGCAGCAGCAAACCGACCTGGCCACAGCTGGAGCAATGCACCAAGCTGGACCCATCACCAGACCTCAACCGTCAACCGCTTGCTCTTTTCTTGCCCAGCTATCTTGTCCTGGAGTCTGCAGTCGTCCAAGACTAGCTGGGTAAAAAGCACGCCGAAGGAATAGAAAACCAGGAGGAGGAGCACCTCTGCTCCAGAACCCAAACTACCAGGACTGTCACACTCTGTGTGATGACCTCACATACTGCTGGTCAGGGTTGTTTGCTGATCACATGTACTGATTGCAAAGTCCAGTCGCCAGCGTCCACAGCAGGCTGTGCAGGCTGCTCATGATGGACAGCACCAGGGTTCGCAGGGCACTCACGTACCTGTGCTCTTTGAGACCGCGCTCTGAAACACGCTGCTGCGTGTAAGGCACGGCAATAATCAATCAATCTTGATTATTCTGTCTTCAATACAAGCCCACACTGCATCAAGACTGTGCCCTGACCATCCTGCCTGAGCAGCCGCATCACGCGGATGCCACGCAACGCTCGGGCCAAGCGCACGGCGCGTGCGAATCGCAGGTGGCTTGCACTGACCTCTGCAGAGATTCTCCGTCGCTCAGGAGAATCCGAAGGCGTTCGGCTTCTCGAGGTGTTTTCACAAATGGACGAGGAAAAGGGCTCCGCATTTTAAAGCTTCTGCATTTACTTAGAAATCAAACCTGGCCCATGCGTTTCCTTCTCAAGATAAGTGCGGGTCCCCAAGCACCTGTCAGGTTTTCTTGATCTGCTTCAGTTGTCTTCTCGACAAGCCCTCTAAAACTCCTGCAGATTCTAAACGGGAACACATACGGTACATGTACTCCGGAACAGAGCAACCGCCACAAAGCAATTCCAGCCTGGGAAGTGGACGAGGTCTGCGCCCAAAACTCAAGAACTGTCTCCAACACCGACCTGCAGCAAAGGCTTTAAGCCTCCTCTTAAGCTTCATTCAATACTCACATACTACACCTCTGCTTGCACATAAATCCATATCACATACAACTTAATGCCATGTAAAGGCCTATTGAGCCAACGTATCTCAATAATAAGTGCGGCCGCAGCGCAAGTCAAGAGCCAGCGGGCATGCATATTGTTGTTCGTACACTTGCATGACTAGGCTCAGAGCGGTAGCCGATCCCCTCGTGCGGTTTTTTGCTTCGCTTATGCCGACTTCAACTTGGTTCATTCATTTGGCCTATAGGGGTTTCAGTTGTTTATGGCCTCTCATTTTTCATTGTTGCTCTATCGTTTAAGTTAATTCTTGTCTTCGCGGCAATGGCAGCCGATGCTACGAAAGCTGAAGCGCCTCCTACTGCCACGCCAACTGCGCCCACTGCTCCGTCTGCTACTTCAGCGGATCAAGCTTCTACAGGGCTCTTGGCAACAAAATCAGAATCCTCCCAGCAGCAAGCTAGTAAACCTGATGCTCCGACAGTAGTAGATAGCACGCTCCTAGTTCCAGATTGTTTGGTTGAAAAATTCGCGGATGGTAGTATTTACGTTACCACAGCTGGTACCACGGAAAAGAATTTCAGAGATGTTGTATCAAACCTTCCTCCAACAGAATATGAAAAGAGTAGCCTCCTCCACAGTCCCTGCAGCCTTTGCCTCCCAAATGGAAGAATTTTTGAAGAACCCATTGAATGGGGAGATATGGACCCCTCCTTTGCTAGGATGTTGCAGAACACCCCTTCTATGCTGCAAGCTTACGAGGCCCTCCGCACTCCCAAAAAGATGGACTTGGGTTCCTTCCAGCCACGTACGAACTTGACCCTCCCAGAGCCCTCATCCTCAGTTACCCTGCCCGACTCCATACCCAGGTGGCTATCGATAGCTGATTCTTCAACTTCGGCTCTGCTCCTCATTTACATGGCGAGCTCTGCTTTTGTGAGCCACTTTGATGGTTCGAGTGCAGATTTGCCAATGGAAAGATTTACGCTAGATGCCACTGGACCAGCTGGTCCATGCATCGCACGATTTACGTTATCTTCACTCATTTCTATGGAAGCCTCCCACCCATGGCTTTCTCAATTGTACAAGCAAAATTTACCAGTGGAAAGATTTACGTTAGGTGTTTGGGGACCAGGAGCCCCCTTCACCATCCGATTTACGTTATGCACTCGTTTTTTCCTGGAGCACCCCTTTCCATGGAACGCTCCTGTGGACGTTGCCCCGTGTACATACAGTGTGTACAAAGCCTCGCATAGGTTAGGTCAGTTAGACTTCTTCCGAGCAGTAGAGCCCTACTCTTCACCAAGCCAAGTGAGCACCACTCCCGGATCTCGCAAACTGCATATATGTAATAAATACTCCAAGGCCAACTTTTGCGAGCATCTGTGTAGCTTCACGCAGCCGAAACGCTACCAGCAGCAAATTAAGTTTATGGGTTTTGCTTCTGAATCGTTGAACAAACTCATCCATTCCCTTAATGGTAATTATGTTTTTTTAGATTGAAACCTTGAAATTCCGGTCACTGTTATGGAAGACCTCCTTCACCCTTCCCAACGGTATGATAGTTTTTGACTATTCCTTTTATGGCAAGAACAAGCTCTGGGTTGAATACTATAGAAGAGGCCAAAGTTTTGCAACTGATACAGACAGACCCACCCCTCCTAGACTTTATGGGATCATGCTACGGTCGATCGCCTCCAGAGGAGGCGGGCTGGACCTACCTCCAAGCCTATGGAAGATCTTGGAAGTCAAGTGCCCGCACGAGCTCTTATCCGAGCGCAGGGCAGACACAACCGCTTTACGCTATGACAAATTTACGTTATGAAGACCCTTCGGGTCATGACGACATTTACGTTATGGACGACAGCGACGACATTTAGCTATGACAGATTTTCCATTATCGCAGAGTACTCCATCTCATTCGGTCCAATGCGGCTACCAAGACCGACGCGCTCTCAGGGGTACATCAAAAGGATATCGTTCTCAGTCCACTTATGAAAGGAGATTAGCTTCTCGCAAAGTTAAGCAACAGGACTCTCGAAGAGACTTTAGACAATGGAAATCTCGTTGCAAGGATTCCTCCCTGCGGACACACGGAGACCAGAATCCTACACCCCTGATTTGTCCAAAACCAACAGCACAATCTAGGCTCCTTTCACAATCCCGAAGTTATTCCCAAGGTTATAATCAACTTAGGCATGTTGAAAAGCCTATTGCGGTTCCGATCCCTGCTGGTTTCTCTCTTCAACTTGCTACATGGAATGTAGAAGGACTAAGGGAAATTGCTAAGTATGATCAAATCATCTCCTTTCTTAACTCCAAGCAAATTCACCTTTTAGCTGTCCAAGAAACCAAATGTGACTCAGTAAGTACTTTTAAAAAATCAGGTTGGGTGATTTTACACTCAGGTGCCTCAAGTGCTAAACATCATGGAGTAGGGCTTTTTGTTTCTCCTTCACTTAGACCACATGCCCACCAGTTCTTAACTCACTCCCCTCGCATCTGTGAGCTCACCATTCGTACCACATCCCATCACCATCTTCTCTATGTTGATGACTCCATTGAGGACCAGGCTAGAAAACAGCATTTTTGGTCTCAACTTGACTCTATTATCTCTGAACACCACAACTCCTCTCATCTAATTATATTGGGTGATTATAATTCTAGACTTGACAACTCCCTTGATCCTGACAATGATCACATAAGCCCACAAGTATGGGGCAAAAGACAAAGTATTCCTGACCCTGATAAGAAGAACTCGGTCTTTTTCATGGAATTTATGCAGTCCCATCTTCTCCTCCTCCCTCAAACTTTCTCAAATCTACCATCCTGTAAACTCGTATCAGAGAAAGAAATGACCTCCACCACTGACCTTCTTGATGATTTTTCTGTTTCTGATTGGACTACTTTTGACTTTGCTTCTGTTACTCACCCTATCTTCTGTGATTTTCAATTCAAAGCTTCTATTTTCCAACAGCTCATTAATAGTCGGCACCTCCCCTTGTTGTTTTCCTACTCTACATTCCCCCCCAACCAAATTTGAACCGAAACTAGATTACTCCAAAACATCGGACTTCTATCTAGCAGTAGAGACCAGCCTCCTTTCTTGCACTAACAACTCTACTTGCTCCCTTCCACCTACTTCCTCTACTCTTATTGCATACACAGATGGCTCTTGTCCCAGTAATAGGACCGTGGGTCCTGACAACCCCGCAGGCTGGGGCTTCTCCCTTTATATTTCAGATTCGCCATTTTCTACTCATCAATGAGTCGATTCGCATTGGCTCAGCTCCTTTGGACAAGTTAAAAATACCCCTCTTGATGCCAACGAAATTACTCCGGTAGATGGATCCAAAAACACTGGTGAAATGAGAGCCATTATTGAACTGTTCGATTACATTCTCTATTTCACTCAGCTCCCTCACGGTTCCTCTGTAAAAATCTTCATAGACTCCACCTATGTTATTCGCTCTCTCCAGGGAGATCAGATCCCCTCTGCCCATCACCAATTAGTTGAGCTCGCTCAACAATATTACACTGCTCTCCGTGCAGTTTTTTGCTTAGAACTATGTAAGGTACCATCTCACGTTGGCATTCCGGGTAACGAACTCGCTGATGCATTAGCCCAAAGGGGCGTCCACTCGTACGGTGACCTAGGTCGTTTCTCTGCCCGATTGCCACTCAACCCTCCTCTTCTTGGCTATAACTCAGATATTTGGCTATCTAAGTCCCCTCAGGAACAATCAAATTTTCTCTGCTCCTTGCTTTCATCTGATTGACGCGAGTGGCTGAAGTCCAGCGCAGGTCAGAAGTCAGCAGACAGCAGACCACTGGACAGAGAAGCGGCGTGCTCTACACCTGCTGGCGGAGCACTACTGCCTGCACGAATGGGTGGGCCAGAATCCATCCCCACCCATGAAGCAGAGCAACAGAAACAGAAGTCCACAGAAAGGTGGTGCATAGGGGATGGCAGGAGGGAGAACA